CGCTACCTTAAGTCTTAGCATGGATTTAGAGTTTAGCTTATTAGCCATGCAAATGTATTCAAATGTCAAAATTTATCATACTCCTGCAAAGATCCCCTGGAACTGAAAGTATTTGCACTCCTGCCTATGTGTCTTTCACAGTCTTAGAAATACATAGATTTCAGACCAACAATGACTTGTCAATTAAATTAATTATAATTACCATTATTGAAAAAGAATACAACTAATTTTGCTCTGAATGGTTGAATAAATTAAATGAGCCTTACCTATATAAGTTGATTTGAAAATAAACACACGAGTCTGATCTGCCAAGCTACAAACCTTGATATTTGGCACTGCATTGATTTCAGTTTGGGGTACGAGTCAGACAGTTTTTGTTCAGCATTAGGAAAGTTCTTCTTAGTTTCAAATGATACCCATTTACTAGTTCATTAGTCCCCGTGCAGGCGCAGCCTGAAAAGGGGAGTATAGTTCTATATTTCCAGTTTTTGGCCGTCCGGTTTCCTTTACATCCCTTACATTTTCTCAGAAATTCTTCAGCAGATATCGATGAAACTTGGTAGGTTGATGAACAAGTCTCTGTTGAATATGCACATAATTTTTTCCAGATCTGAAAATCCTAAGTGGGTTTTTTTCATGATTTTTATCATAAATTACCTCTCCCAACAACACTGAGAGAACAACTGAGCATGCTCAGAATAAATAATTAGTTTAGATTGTAATGCTAGGGTTTTGTGACATTATGACCTTGATCTGAATCAGTGACAGAAATGGACCAGTCTTGAAAAAAAAAAAGTGGTCATAAATGTTGTATATTATATCTTTAAAATTGCATTCCATTATAAAGAGCCATCACTGAAATACCGGGTCACAATGTTGACGATCAGTGAAAACACTTTGCAGTTACTGTTTATAAATCTTGGCCAGGCACATTGACACATGTGGTATAAAATATAGCTTCAGTTCAAACAATTGTAATATACAAAGACCTGAATTAACAAAGAAGTCAAGTTGTTATCAAATGTACATCAAAGTTTACTCAGATTTATGAATGCAGTTTCTTGAGCATGTATACATGTATGAGACATAGTTTGGTTGTACTTGTGTATGAGATTTTGGACCTGGATCAATGAAAGTTTTCAGTTATCAGTACAATACTAGATTAAGGAAAATCACTTTATGATGAGTTGTACCCACATAGAGTACATATTAATTCACCTGTTGCAGATGTTCCATGTATTATTTTAATATGAGTATTGTATAATTAAATGACGGAACTGTGACATTCATGTCTTGTTTGTACTTAAAGGGTGGTGGTCGTCACGCAACGCGTGTTCGAATTTCATGTAAACAAACAATGTATTTTACACGCATTGTATACATCGCTATGAGTCCCATATCGAACAGGACACGGCGCGGCGACGACCACCGCCTTTTAACAATACCTGTTCACAAAAAAAGACTTTGTCAGAATTAGGTTGTTCCCAATTGGTCTAAGTGAAAAGTACAACTTTTCCCTCACTATTTGAAAATGGGACAATTTCCAGATATATAAGCTGGTAGATGCATGATCACTACACTAAATAATCTAAGCAGGTGATTTGTGTTTGAATGTAACATGTAGTTCACTATGGTACACATAAATCAGGTGTGCTTCCATTCAGTTCATTGTCGTATACGAAGGAATTACAGAAAACATGTATGCTGTGACAACACAGAGCTGCATAAAACTTGCCAAATTAGCAATATCATTCTGACAATAACGTAGGGCCTAAAACGTTTACTTGAACTATGACCCCAAACAAGCTGTTAATCACAACATTGAGCTTAGAAACTCATTTTCACTTATGGACTCTGAGGGCGCAATTTACACACATATTCATCATTTTGAAATTTTTACACTATTCGGGAAAGGTTTATTGGTCTCATACTAAATCCTTTAGATCAGAATATTAGTATAAACTTAAATTTTTTCAAACTTGATAAAAACATTCTGTATCTGCGCATGATGATGTGTACATTCCACTGTTGCGGTCTAATTTCATAAAGCTAAAAGTACAAGTCATTGTCAATGACACGTCCCCGTTCTGTTCATATTTGAGTGACATATGCATTCAAATTAGATCATGACCGAAATGCACCTGCATATGTACAACACATTGTAATAAATCTGAACAAAATCCATCCATGCATGACTGAGATCCGGTTCCA